TTCACTGAAATCTTGGACATAGCCCTCTTGATCTATATATACATCAGACTTTTTCAAACTGTGGCAGGGACAGATAGACAGAAAAAAGAATGGATCCTAGATATGTTCCTGTTAGTTGGATCGAAGACTAGGTAAAAAAGAATAAAAAAGAATATGTGCTGTTTGATGTTACTGTACTGTTTCATGTATTGTCCCCCCTCTATTGTATGAGCAAACCCTTTGGCGCTACTCGATAAATAAATAAATAAATAAATAAATATTTACCTAACTACAAACACAATTTTAATTGTTTATTAAAAAAAGAACAAAAGAACTATGCATTCAAATGAGTATTGTGTGGTTTAGTAATATTCAAGATTAGGGCACTGCTGGATAGCAGGCATGGTGCCAAATCATACTTGTATGGCTATAATATGAGTATTCAAAGGGGAACACCCTGAAAAATCCAAGCTACTGGGGAAAATAAGCCCAACCCTTAAATAATATTTATCAGTATACTTACATCTTCTTGTAGTTCTTTTCACATAAGGAAAGGGGGAGTTGCTTAGTTATAATTCTCACACATAAGCAGGTTGGTAGTAAAACTGTCTTATTTAGTTATAATAAAAAGGAATTTTACTAAAAATACCATTGATTCAAACATATAGCTTGGAATGTGAGCTTGGCAGTGTTAGTTTTATTATTTTCATCATAGTTGTCTTCAGCGACAAGTTTTTAGTGACAAAAAGTAAAAGAAAATAATTTCAAATTTACGTCAATTGACTAAAACCATGATGAAAATCAATTGCAATTTTCGTCAACAGGTGAAAACGTAACGAAAATGCGAGGGAGGGATGTTTACACACGTGAACTTTGAACTGCTTTTACTGTGAACAGTAAACTGATTTTTATTATAGAAATAAGCATTACCCTTGAGTATTGCTTTAGTTATGCTGTGCCTGTACTTGTAGCTGCAGAAATCTTTTGGTTGTGTTCAGTTATTTGAAACTGTTAAAATTCATGTAATATGTGCAATGGCATTACAGGTGAGTTTGCATTTTTTTAAAAGTTGCACTTGTCAAAAAAGCAATATTCTTGCAACGAAACGTGGTTTTATTTATACAGACTCTCTATATCACTACTGCTAAATATGTGTCTATAGTTCATGCATAAAAACCTTAATACCATAAATAATAACATGTTATTATATTTTTATTCCAGGAGTAAACAATGAGCTTGGAAATTTTAGAGAAATGCTTAAATAATACATTACAATTTAACTAAACCAATTAGATTTACTCAACTAAAATACGACTAAAACAATTTGGATGACTAAAATACGACTAAAACAATTTGGATGACTAAAATACGACTAAAACTAAAATGGCATTTTAGTAAAAATACTATGTCTAAAAATATATTGAAATTTGAAGTCAAAGTTAGCACTGTACTCTGAAACTTTCTGTAAGATTGAATAGACAGAATGGCACATGTGCATGGACTCAGCAAAGAAGAATGACAAGAGGCTGTGTGTTGCTAAGGAGGCCTCATAGCTGATATTGCCATCTGGAGAGTGTAGTCCAAGAATGGCAAAATAGGTTGGCAGCAGTTTTAAAACGGGTTTTAAAAAGGCAGTTACACTTTAATAGTTAAAATTCACTCCTTTACATAGAGATATTGATTATTATTATTATTATACAGTATTTATATAGCGCCAGAAAGTTTGCTCAGCGCTGTACAATATAGTGGGGGACAGAACATGAGACAATACAGTAACAAAACAATATACGAGGGGTTCGAGGACCCTGCTCTTTTGAGCTTACAATCTAGGAGGGAGGGGATAGTGGTACAGGAGGAAATGGCTGTGGGGGATGGAGTGGTAGGAGGAGTGGAGGAGATCGGCTGTTAGGTGAGGGTATTGATGAGACAGCACTTCAAAAAATGAATATTTCATTCATATATCTTTATAACTTTCTTAAGGATCTAAGTTTTTTTTTTTTTTTTTTTTTTATTAAACATAAAAAATAAAAATGAACGTAAGTCTGAGTTTAGTGGAATCAGTTAAGCATTCATTTGAGCTTGTTTTTCAATGTTAGTTTTTCACAAACTGCAGAGAATATTTTTTAGGATGTGAATTTTGATTAGTGTACCACAGCATAATCTACTGAAGGCTAATAGAACTTTCTTAAAATCTAAAAAGAACCCATTTGGGTAACTTCCATTAACTTAAATATAGACATTCTGCTTTATCAAAGAATACAGACAAACTAATCTTTCCAATTTATTGGCTTTCAATAGAATTTGAGATATCACACAGAGTCAATTTTCTCCAATAGTATGAATTAGCTGACAAAGCACAGTACTGTTGAAAGCCAACATTCATGCTTCAAAGCACTAAGTAATGGTTTCCCTCTATTTTAGGAAATGACTTTCCACTATATCGTTTATCTCAACCATACCTTGTTACATTAAGGAATGTTGCAGATAATAACTAATAGCTTACAGTGGAAAATATTAAAGATAATCTGTCATCTACTCAAAAACCCTGGACGTGCAGCTATTCTCTAATTGGATAAAATAATGCATTTCTGCCAAGTTGTTCAGTGTCTGGATTAATGTTACAAATGAGCATATTCTAAAAATTCCAGACCTTCCAGATAATTCTTTATCTCTTCAGAAGTGATGGAAAAGGATGCTATGGATGCTGTGGAAGTTAAAACCAATAGTGATTAGCTGATAAACTGATGACAGCGGGGTGGGTATTTATGAAGCTTAATTCCCCAGTCCATCATTCTTTATTATGTGATTTTACAGATTAAGTTACAATACATTATGCATTTTCACACCACTACCTTTTTGGCATTTCAAGATAAAAAAAAATAATGATATCAGTGAGGAATAGTAACTTATAACTCCTTGGCCTCCTGCTAATCAGTTCAATTCACATAAACCACTGGGTTTACAATGTCAGAGTGTATGAAAATGAAGAATTTACATGAGAGTTTCAAAAACACAAGAATGAACTGGTAAGGGAGTCACAGAATATCTTAACACGTACTGTTCTTTGGAAAAACTGGAAACTATTGACAGATTTGATCTGACTTTACTGTGAGTACCAAATGTTGAAATTAGCAGCTAAGCCAAGTTTTAATTGGTAAACAATATACATGACTGACAGTCATAAATAATATGTGTAGCTTCACAAAAAATCCTATAATTAATCTCACTTTTTTACTTCTTCATCAGGTTCTTCCATTTAAAAAGAAAACTCAGGACACAGATAACTCCACCTGCTACTGCCCAGCCTGACAGCTGAAAAAGAATTTATAAAGTTATAACTAAATGAAATATTGTATCTCCTAAAATATAATGTTTATGCCTTTCACCTAAAACACCTACTTTTCTAGGTTCTGGATTTGGATATTTAATCTCCTCTACTCAATAACTGGGGTCAGTATACCTAAAAATGTCTATTTAATGACATTTTGGATGAGATTCCCAAACATCTCAGAACACAGCCTTTTTTTCATTTTCCTGGCCGCTAAAATAATTATAGCACGAATGTGGAAGTCTCCAGGTGTTAACTTTACATTAGTCAAAAATAAAATATCTTGGATTATTCATAAAAAATTAGTAAGTATCCTTCGAGATAAACCAATTTTGAAAAGGCCTGGAATCCCTGGATCACATACCTTCAATCTACTGTGTGACTTGTGAGGCCCTAGGGGTCGGTTGTCTGGGTCTGGCTTCTCTCTTCTATCTCTTTCCGCTTTCTTTCCTTACTCTTTTCTTTTTTTTATTCTTCTGTTTATCTACATTTTTATAGTGCCACACTGGGTGCAGTCTCTTAGACAGATCATTATACATTTTCTGTCTGATTTGATTCAAATAAGTTGCTAAGGGGCTTTAAGTCCTGGTAAATAGAGCTTTGTGATTCTTTATAGTATCTTCCTCTTCTCCTCCCTTTAGAGTGAAGGATATGTTGTGGACGGAATGCTAGACACCAGTATAGTATGACATCAAGCTACATGATGTGTCTGGGCAATTTCTGCCTTTAAAGGAGAATCACAGCCAAAGCTTTTTTGGCTGTTCTTCTCCAGTGGATCACAGGAGTGCAGTTCTGCACTCCTGTAACCCATTTTCAGTCAACAGTGGGCTGAAGGTTGAGGAAAGATGCCAACTTCAAATTCGGGATCCACCCCAGAATCTGGAATGGCACCTGGCTCAGCTGCTCAATCACTGGGGGGGGGGGGGGCAGAGCAGGCAGCAGTGACTAACAGTCACCGCTCTCTGCTCAGGGCTGCTGTGAGAACTTCCTGGCCGGTGAACGTAGAATTTCTGGGGGCAGCCATGTACCAGTAGGCTAGGCTTGCTTGGTTTATAGGAATGGGAACTGCTTTAGGTGATGTTACACTAAGCTATATTCCCTGATCACTCATACAGAGGCAACCATTACAGTGCATTGGTTTTGACACAATTGATTGATGTGTGTGATACACAGGATACAATGTCTGGTGCATAATCAGTCCAGGCACCGAAACAGTCTCACGCATGTGGTATCGCCATACTCGGAAGAAATAGTAGAATGTGTTTTGGATAGCAATTCTAAGTATGCCTATGCTGTGTGGTAGAAATATCTCATTAATTGATAATTGTGTAAAAAAAATTAATTTTCATTTTCTTTATTGCATTTTCCAAAAACTTGTGGCAAAAAATGACATTTTCAAAAGAATCACTATGCCTTTCAGAAAGTACCTTGGAGTGTTTGCTTTCCAATATTGAGTCATTTTGTGAGTGTTTCTCCTGTGCTGGCACTTCAGGAATTTAAATATGACAGGTAGTTAGGAAATGATATGCGTAATTTATGCTCCTTGAAAGCCTAAGGGCTCATGTACACTGCAGCTGATAAACTCACGTTTAGGAGCTGTTCAGCATTTTTTTCAGGAGCCCCTGAACTCACCCATGGACAAATCTTTGTTCACAGTCGTTTACAGGCATTTGAGTTTACAGTCGTTTTTTTAATGCAGAAAACTTGCATTCAGCAGTCGATTTTATCAGCATTTCAAACGCAAAATGATTGTAAACATGGCTAAAAGTGGCTAAACGTGGCAAATCGCGTTTATAAGCGTTTGCATTTGAAATTTTTTTTAACTCTTCCAGTTCCTGATGCAGTCCAGAGCCTTTTTTCATCATGAAAAATGCATGCAAAGCGTTTTCAAGATACTCAAATGGACAAAACACTGAACACAGGATGTTCCTACCAAGCTTGTCACACAACAAAAGATATGTTAATGACCAGTCACACCTTAAATTCCTCATAAAGACCCCCTGCCAGGTTGCTTTAGTGACTCACTCTAGCAGACACCTTCCCACCCTCGGAAACAAAAGAAATGTTAATGACCAACTCACACCAAAGCTAATATCAACAAATACTGCTGTCTCTTCTTCTACTCTGTGTATTTCTCTGAAATAGTTAATAATTTACCACTTTTCCGTGCATTCTGGGCATTTGGGAGGTTCTCCTGTGCTTATCTTTAAAAAACGCTTCTAATCACAAACACACATAAACGCGCATAAATGCGTTATGCAAACGCAGCTAAACAGATATTTTTTTTAACCTACGTTTTCCAGCAGTTTCCATTATTCACAAGTGTCCCATGTACATGTGGCTTCCTTCTTGGATTTTGGGCCCCTCTATGCATTTAGGCTGTGAAAACATCTCACTCATGTGGTATCATCATACTCAGGAGGCATAGCAGACTGTGTTTTGTGGTATATTTATAAATATGCCACAGCCTATTCTGTGTGTAAGAAATAACTTGTTAAAATGACTACTTTGTGAAAAATAAATTATGCATCTATAAGTTCACACACATTAAATAATATCAACTGATTTGGATTATTTTTACCAAAGAAATGTAGTAGAATACATCTTAGCAGAAAACATTTTACATTTTAAATTTATAAAGTAAGTGTTTTACAAAATGTTATAACAAGAAACTAAGAAAATATTATTTATTTATATAGCAAAAAATATAAACCCAGTGGTGATTAAATATCACCAAAAGAAAGCTCTATTTGTCTCAAAAAACAATTTCATTTGGGTACAGTGTTGCATGACTGAGCAACTGTCATTACTCTGTGTGAAAGTATCTGAAAAATGGTCTGGACAGGAAGGGAGAGAAAACAGTCTGATCTTGAAGTTTTTAAAGGTAGATTGATAACATTTAGGGTCCATTCGCATGACAAGTCGCAGCCTATTTATTTCAATGTCACCGGTTCCATTCTATGTGACTAACATCACAGCGACTTTACTAAAGGTTTCTGCACTTTGAATGAGCTTTCTTGCAACTTGAGCACCATGGAGTTGCATGAAAGTCACATCAAGGTCGCACTGGAAATCACAAGACTTTGGACTAGTGTGAGCCAAGCCTTAGCTTTCTAAATCACTGGCTATCAAACAGTTGTGACATGTCAGGGGTAGGTGAGGTGATGACTGCTCTGTAGGCTCTATTGTGGGTTAGTTGCGAGGGTCAGCTGGGCCTCAATATATTTATGGGCCTTTGTATTTTGTGCTTACAGCATACCATTGATTTTTCTCTGCACATGGGAGACATTCGCTACTGATGGTGAGTGCTTGTTGGTATAAGATGGATGCCATACATGTTGGAGATACGTTTCTCTATGGTTGTGATTTTATGCTTTTGGCTTTATAGGCCTACGATAAAATATCTGAAAAAACTGGCAATTTTGAAGATCTCTTTTTTTGTGGGTAGCTTTATATACCGTATTTTCCGGCGTATAAGACGACTGGGCGTATAAGACGACCCCCCTACTTTTCCTGTAAAAATATAGGCTTTGGGCTATACTCGCCGTATAAGACTACCCCCCTCTACCAACCAATCACGGCAAGCGATGTACCAGTATTTTCTGTGCACACTGCATACAAAGCCTGCTTGGATTGGGTGGGTCAGCTCTCCCTGCCTGCCCAGCCCTCCCTGTCTCCAAGATGATCTGAGAACTGCCACAGTTATTAATATATAATAATTAATGTTAATTACCGTATTTCCTGCAAGGTACTGCCTAGCTGACGCTTCTGCACATGTCTTCGGCAGCAGTAGACGATCGCTGATCACCATTCCTCACAGAACTGCATGAGACGTCGGATGCAGCCGTTCAGTGCTCGATTGAGCTTGACTGAAACTGTGATATGCAGAGAAGGCAAGAAGACGCTTCTGCACATGTCACAGTTTCAGTCAAGCTCAATCGAGCACTGAACGGCTGCATCCGACGTCTCATGCAGTTCTGCGAGGAATGGTGATCAGCGATCGTCTACTGCTGCCGAAGACATGCGCAGAAGCGTCAGCTCGGAAGTACAGGTAAGGTTTCAGCACAACACCCGGCGTATAAGACGACCCCCGACTTTGTAGAAGATTTCCAGGGGTTAAAAAGTCGTCTTATACGTCGGAAAATACGGTATATATGGTGTTTATATTATTATAAGTCATATATTTATATTATTTCTTTTAGAAGGAGCAAAAATGGATCAGTGATGTTGATAATGATGTCAGCCTTGCACTTTATCTTTTTTGATCAATTGTTGAATACCGTTTGAGGTGAGATACAGTATATGTCACACCTGTGCATGTACAGTTGCAAGAAAAAGTATGTGAACCCCTTGGGATTACGTGGAGTTTTGCATGAATTGGGCATAAAATATGCTCTGAACGTCATCTAAGTCACAACAATAGAAGAACACAGTCTGCTGAACATAATACTACACAAACATTAGATGTTGCCATGGTTTAATTGCACATAACATGTAAACATTCACAGTGCAGGGAGGAAAAAGTATGTGAACCTTTGGACTTAATAACTGGTTGACCCTCCTTTGGCAGCAATAACCTCAACCAAACATTTCCTGTAGTTGCAGATCAGACCTACACAACGATCTGGAGTAATTTTGGACCACTCCTCTTCACAAAACTGTTTCAGTGTAGCAATATTCTTGGGATGTCTGGTGTGAAACGCTCTCTTAAGGTCATGCCACAGCATTTCAATCGGGTTGAGGTCAGGACTCTGACTGGGCCACTCCAGAAGGCGTATTCTGTGCTGTTGCAACCATTGTTTTGTTGAATTACTTGTATGCTTTGGGTCATTGTCCTGTTGCATCACCCATTATCTGCGGAGCTTCAGTTGGCGGACAGATGGTCGTACGTTTTCCTGCAAAATGTCTTGATAAACTTTGGAATTCATTTTCCCATCAATGACAACAATCCGTCCAGGCCCTGAGGTGGCAAAGCAGCCCCAAACCATGATGCTCCCTCCGCCATGTTTTACAGTGGGGATGAGGTTTTGATGTTGGTGTGCTGTGCCTTTTTTTCTCCACACATAGTGTTGTGTGTTCTTCCCAAACAACTCAATCTTGGTTTCATCTGTCCACAGTATATTTTGCCAGTAGTGCTGTGGAACATCCAGGTGCTCTTTTGCAAACTTCAAACGTGCTGCAATATTCTTTTTGGACAGCAATGGCTTCCTCCGTGGTGTCCTCCCATGTACTCCATTCTTGTTTAATGTTTTCCTTATTGTAGATGTGTCAACAAAAATGTTAGCATGTGCCAGAGATTTCTGTAGGTCTTTAGCTGACACTCTGGGATTCTTCTTTACCTTATGCAGCATTCTGCGCTGTGCTCTTGCAGTCATTTTTAAAGGACGACCACGCCTAGGGAGAGTAGCAACAGTGCTAAACTTTCTCCATTTGTAGACAGTCTGTCTTACCGTGGACACATGAACATCAAGGCTTTTGGAGATACTTTTGTAACCCTTTCCAGCTTCATGCAAGTCAACAATTCTTGATCGTAGGTCTGCTGAGAGCTCTTTTCTGCGAGGCATGGTTCACATCAGACAGTGCTTCTTGAAACCAGTAAACCCAAAACAGGTGTGTGTTTTTTAAGGGCAGGACAGCTGTCAGCAACACATCCAATATCATCACACTGATTGGAGTCAAGGTTGGCTCACTCCTGGCTCCAATTAGCTCTGGGAGAAGTCATTAAGCTAGGGCCTCACATACTTTTTCCTCCCTGCACTGTGAATGTTTACATGTTATGTGCAATTAAACCATGGCAACATCTAATGTTTGTGTAGTATTATGTTCTGCAGACTGTGTTCTTCTATTGTTGTGACTTAGATGACGTTCAGAACACATTTTATGCCCAATTCATGCAAATCTCCACGTAATCCCAAGGGGTTCACATACTTTTTCTTGCAACTGTATGGTCCCCCATAGTTTACATACTGTCTGTTTAGGGTGGTTGGGGTGTGTTGGTGGTATGGGGTTGTTTTTCTTTCTTTTCTCCCCTTCCTCTTCTTTTGTCTTCCAGACATCAACTGTTTTTGTACATTTTGTATATTCTGTTTTTGATTAATATGATTTTGTATTTTTCTATTGTTGAGCCTATTTTATTTTGGTTACATTGCTAATATTTTGTACAGCCATATCATCTATCTTCATAAGTACATGGATCTTGAAGAAGTGAGAATATTGTGAAACACTTCAATCCATTATGCTATTTATTCATTAAGCTATTATGAAACTAATATGTGTCCACTACCTAGCCGCTCGATTGCTATTACAAGCAGCTGAAGGGGACTACCCCCACTCCTGCCGCATTCTGCGGCTTGCTCGGGCTCTCCTGTCCCACCAGGATCAGCTTTTTGAACAGCTCTCCATTATAGTAAATTGGAAGCAATGACCTGACATCACTTCCAGTTTACTCAAAAGTAAACAGCACCATTTAAAAAAATAAATATAAGCATGCAAAAATGCCAATCTTGGCTTTTAAGTGCAGAGGAGGAATTTGGGGTCTTATAGACCCCAGATCTCTCCCTAAATAGCACCTGTCACATGCCCATTCCTGCCACAAGGGATGTTTACATTCCTTGTGACAGCAATAAAAGTGATTAAAAAAATTAAAGCAACAGTGTAAAAAATTTAAAAAATAAATAAATAAGAATTAAAAAAAAAATTACAGTGCCCCTGCCCTCCCATGCCCGCAGGAAAACAGAGATCGACCCACACATGTGAAGTATCACCGCAAAACATCAGATCATGGGCAGTATTTCTAGCATTGAACCTCCTCTGTAAATCTAAAGTGGTTACCTAAAAGAAAGTTGTGAGCGCTCTGAATGAAATGAAGCAGCCAAGCATCAAAAAAGTATACCAAAAACCTCGCAAATATATGAATATAAAAGATGCGGCGCTATATCACAACTGTAATTATGCTGAAACATCCAAGGTATATGTGATGATTAGGTGACTAATAAAAAACCACAAATATTCTGTCACAAACAGAGTGACATGCAGTGCAAAACAGTCTTAGTGACAATCCCTCTCCTTCAAAAGGTGCTTCT